TTACCCTCACTTCTCTCCTTCTTCATCCTTCAAAAATGCCACAGTAGATGGGCCATTTCTATGAATAAATCACTGCAGATGACTGAAGAACATCTAGTTTCACAGATACAGATCCCACAAAAAATTGACCTTTTCAATGATCCAAAATTAAAACCTATAGATGCTATGGCCAGAGCATTCAGCTGACACTACTCCAGAAAGCACAAGGAGGAAAAGGAAGTGTATTAATTATAAGATTTATTTTACAGCTTGTTATGTTTTCAGTGCAAAGCTTTCATGCTTTGTGTTGGCAGGAAGTTTGCTAGACAGCAGTGCTCAAATGTAGAGTCCTCAAGCCACCAGCTGGCCCTGATAATAGCTTTTTTAGACTGCATTAGGGTTGACCATGCCTTTTAGATGAAGAGATATCCTGGGGAGCACATAATAGGGCAACCAAACATGATCAACTCAGGGATTGTGGATGGGCTCTGAAGCTCTTCACCTCTCTGTTACTGGTTCCCATTTAGTTTGGTGACAGAAAGTCACTGCCACCTAATGGCTATTTTGTGTCCCATAAGAAAGTTCATTTGTTTCTCACCTCAGTTCACCAGAGCCTGAAGCACAAGTAGATCCACCACTGCACACACTGGCTGTGGTGGAGAACAGTCCACAGTCCCCATTCACAGCTGCCTTTCTGAAGGAATGCCATGGAGAGTTCCTGAGGGCTTCTCTCTGCAGACGCAGTCCACTTCCGTCAGGACGAAACTATTTTAAGCTATCACTTAATACTTAAGGCACATGGTGTTACTGAATCACAACAGAAGTCCAAAGGCACAGGCTATTTCATTCATCTGAGCTATCCAGAAACTGTAGATTATTTTTGAAAACACACAACATGTACATTCATTCCTCATCTTTCCAAGATCCTTCCACTGCGCAACTTTATGGTGAGACAAAACTCATTTTGAAAATACCCACTCCACTGTGAGAAGTAAATGTAGCAAAGCCAGGAAGAGCCTCCAAGGAGCAAGAAATCGTATTCTGTCTAATGATGGCACAAGGTTATACCTTTCAAATATTTGCCCAGGTACTGACAGCCCAATAACCATAAGTTTGAATGACGAGAACATCCTCATTCTGCTCTCAAAAGGAGGACATTTAATTAACCTCCCCAAATGGCTTGTGCCTGACAAAGCAATTTTGTAGCCAACAAAGTTAATTCAAGAATGGATTCCCACAGTCTACTGAGATACCTTGACCACAGATCCTTTTTCTCCTTGCTGTCTTCTCTTCATTACAAAAAACAAAACTCACAGCAGTAACCTTTTGTCTTACAGAGGAAAACAACAAAAAGATGTCCTGCTCCAGATTTTCAGCTGTGGCCACTTGTGCCAAAATCTGCCAAAATCAAGGACAACTGACCCATTGCAACCCTCTTACTACACCAACAACTCAGAATTCCATTGATACCAGGCCTCGAACAAACTGCATGTTGTGACACACCTGCTGATTGACAGCAGGATCAACAGAAATCAATGCCAGCAATGAAGAAGTGTCAGCCAAGACATCCAGATGCTACACTGAGAGGAACACCACTGGAAATGTCCCATGGTAGGCAGACTTGGTACTGAAAAGACAAGCACTATGAAGGGCCAACATTCACTGAGGCAGAAGAATGTTAAAGAAATGCAGCCTTCTGTAGAATAAAATGTTTTGTTAAGAAAACAATAGGTAAGGAAATGACACTGAGCAGGCTGCCCTCCTTCTTCCTCTGGCCCCAGTGAAAGCAGGAGTAGAAATGAAAAGAAATGCCCAAGCTTACACATGCAAAGATGTCCAGAATAATTTAATGAAACAGACATGAAAAGAAGAGAGGTCATACCTCCCCTAATGCTCCTGACGCTAGACCTAAAGACATATGATGTCTTGGAGCCAGCCACTGACAACTGCTCTTACACCAGTACACTGGCAGTATCATCATATGCAGGAAAAGGGCCCACACACCAGGAAAGGACCCCTAACTTAGGAGATAGATTGAATTTCCAGTGTGGTTGAGCCACTGGCGGTGAAATGAAGCAACCATTGGGAAGGACATGAAGCCCGAGCACATAAGGAGGTTCATCTCTGCCTCAGACAGGGGTAGGAATGAAAAATGGCTGCTGCTGAGGGACAGCAATGTGTGCCATCTGGCAAGTGGGCTCTCATATCTCCCAGCTGACAGCAGATCCAGGGAGAGGCAAGCTAACCTCAGGACACACAGTGAATTCCCATCTACTGCTTGCCACCTCATGGAAAGTAGTAAAACTTTGGCCATAGTATGGCCAATATGCTAGCCATAAAAAAATGCTGGGAACTGAGGAGCTTAGAGTATTAGCATCAAAACTGGTCCACAAGGGACAAAACTACATAGTAAAATTGAGGATAATTCCTTGGAGCTAAGAAGAAACCTGGCTAAAAGTCCCCAGAGAACCCATTTCCTTCTAAATCTGCTTTGCATTTAATTGTTTCCTAATGACTATGTTCCTGTTTGGCCCCAGTAGGCTCAGGCACTGGTGCTGCCACTGAACCTTCCCATTTCTCATGCAAGGCCATGGGTAATTTAGAGACCCCAGTTTAATGTCTCACAGAGAATCCATGGAGAACAAGTTAAGCATTATTTGCATTGGAGTAGCATCACCAGTATGCTGAGTACCAGGAGGAGATCCACAGAAAAAAGAGTTTTTCCACTCCCAGCTGCAAGCATATCACAGACATGTATGCACCTGCACCCCAACACTGGAGACAGAGGCACAAAAACCAGATTCAGACCTTTTGGCACTATCAGCAGTCCCATGGCCACCAAATCTCTCACACACACACAGAGATACACCCTGCCTCACAGAGTCTCTCTTCTAGGCACAGCACCAAAACTGCATCTGGAAATCAGCAGCTAATTCATACACTTGCTGACAAGAAAATTACCAACTCTCAGTACATGAAAAGCAGGTTAAGCTGGCCTCACTAGAAGGACAGAAACAAAGACAATACAATGAAGGGCTAAGAGTACTAGAGATCTATCCAGGACAGAAGCTAGCAGAAGCAGCATCTTGATAAGTATTGTTAAAACACAACACTTATTTGGGTAGGGAATTCACATCCTTTAGGCCCTATCCAGTGATACCACCACTCTGGTGCTACAAAATCCCTAATCTTAAGTACCAACTCCAATGGGGTAACTTCTTACAAGTCATTCTGAGCTAGTACAAGACCAAAAAATCAGCTATCATAAAGAGTTAAAAGAGCTGCAAGGTGGTAAAGACTTGGTTGCCATCCACTTAAAACTGCACTGAGATAAAGTCTGGTGTGCAACTGCCCCGGTCCAAAGTATCTCCCATGCCAAACTGATGCTTCACTGGCACAAGCTCTACAGGGATGTTGCTGAAGAAGAGCAAGTGCTTTTCCTGCCAGGCTCAGTGGTGGCACTCCATAACACCTGTCAACAGTAGGACCAGACTCCACTGGTCAGTGAGTTTCACCAACTCATGCTATGCCTGTGCCAGCTTCCTCCTATCTCTCAGCTCATGCCCCTTTCTGCAGCTGAAGGTTAGTGCTGGCCATGCTGGCATGCTGTGCTTGCCACTGGCCCTGCCACATGCTCTGTGCAGTGCTAGCAAACAGGGCCTTTTCTGGCTGCTGGGGGCAGGAATTGACAAGCCATCAAAATCCACAAAACAGAGGTTAATGAAACCACGGAGATACACAGCAAAAGGTGAGGAATTTGCAACAGCTGCTGCAAATTCTGCCAAATGATAAGCTGTCAGCAGTACTGATAACTGCACAGCTTGGGTGTCACTGAAGGAAGCTACATGCAGCCCTTCTGCAAACCAGGTTTCAAAGGCTCAGGGCAGAGACATGGGCCAATGAACAATGAAGCTCCAGACTCCAACACACCTATCTCCACTTCATGCCAGGGCATCAGTGTCACTCACTTGGAATGGGGAGCTACATTAGAACAGCTTAGCGTCTTTAGACAGCAGAGGATGAGAACAAGCCCAAGGAAGCCATTCTGCAAACCACTGCAGATACACTAAGACCATATTGATGATGTGGATTTTCTGCCAGAGGAATACGAAAGCATGCTGGAATCCAATGTCACTGATTTCTACCTTAGTCAAGGCTGTTTCCAGCCTTATAGTCCCTCCAGTCTGGGAATCCCTGGAGAGCACCACTCCATGCATTATAACCAACCACACCAGTGGCCTAAATCCTACCTGCACCAAGAAGAAAAATGAGGCTAAAAACCTTACTTCAAACACACTATGCAGACTGGCCTAATTTGGCACAAGCTGTATTCCCCACTCCAAAGAAGCCTTGAACTCAAATAGCAGACAAACCCCGGCTAACGTACATCACAAGCACCCAACTAAAACCAAGCGTCATTCACAGCTCAATGAACTATATGGCTACAGGCTGGAATGAAAGGTGCAGCACAAGACTTGAGAGGAGCTTGTCTTCCTTCTCACTAGAAATGCTTTTGTTAATGCTTCTTGTATTGTTAATTACTGATACCAAAACACAACAGTGTGTTTCACAAAGAGATGTACACTACTTTGCACAATTCTCATTTCCTCAGAGATCTGCAAGTTTGATTATCTCTATTATTTCCTTTTCAACATGCTCCTTTTACTTAAATCAGTCAGCCTTCATGTTATGGCCATTACCAAACAATATGCAGAATAAGAAAGCACTGCCACGCCACTCTCAGCAGCTGAGCAGCACACAACCAGTCTGGCAGCAGAGATCGCAGCAGAGCCCAACTGCATACACCAAGGACTTGAGTCTGGTGAGCACAGAATGCATACAGCTACCTCTGACAAAGGACCTTCTCCATTGGGCAATGCAAATCCTAATATGGGGTTGTTATCTAATATTGCTGTTAACAATCTGGTAGAAAGCATATTGAGTTATTAAGATGACAGCATTACAGCAAGACACCTGTGCCTTGCAGTTTCCAAGGAATGCAGTTCAGTGCTATTACTCACCTGTGATTTGAGGAACTCATACTCCTCTGATCCGTACGGGACACTCCGAAGAGAGGTGAGGTAGTCATAGGTGATAACTGCTGTCTGCAAATGAAAGCAGAAATGCTGAGCAAGCTCTACAGTTATCAAAACAATAAGACTTCTGTTAAAGAGAATGCATGTACCTTAGGCTTCAAAGTTCAGGCTCCACAGTGAAGCCTATGGCAAAAGACTCATTAATAAATTAAATGAAAATAATTTCACTTCAATGAACACTTATAAAAGAAGTGTAGGGGCCTCACTGATAAGTAGCTATATGTAAGCAACACTTGACACTCCTACACTATCTTCTATTTGAGATGCTCAAAGCATTTTCCTAATCTCTGTACAGCACCTTGCACAGCAGACTCCCATCTTCAGTCAGCCATGTGGGCTTTCACAGTAAGGTCTGCTGCTAGTAACAGAGGTCATCCACACTCTGTGCCCCATCAGTTATCCCACTGCTTCAGAGCTCCAAACTGCCTAACCAGCTTGCTCTGTGTATAGGCTCAGCAGGGAACAGAGTGACTGAGGACAAACTCAGACTAGCACAAGCAGCAGTACTTTTGGGGATATTCAACTGCACAAAGGACTGTGGGGCCAAAGGGTTGAATACCCAATTACAAAAACAGGATCCAACTCAATGGGATCCAGCTCAAACCTGTTTGGTAGACATTGCCATGGACAATGGAATTATATTCTTAAGTGACTTTATAATTTCTGAAAATAGATCTAGGGTATTTCACAATTCCTATCACTAAAGTTCTTCTCTTTCCACAGTCAGAACATCAGTGAATGGGAGAGAAAAATACAGGTCATGTTTGGAGGGAGAGAAGGGAATGTACACTTAGAGGAGCCTGTCCACTAATGTGCCATTTGAATTTCAAGATCCTTGCCATGAAGAACCATTTCTGTAACTCCCATTGAAAGGCACTTTTCCTCAAATCTCCCTACTGAATGGCTAGCATTCCATTCTGGCACAGGATACTAGCCCCACCTTTCACCATAGATATGTCCAGGAAGGGCACAAAGTACAGTCAATGTATCATGAAAGCCAGGGAGGCAAGGGAAGCAAACCTGGTCTGAGAGAACTGACAATAGGGAAAAAAGTCAAAAGTTCAGAAATGCATCCAAGAATGGACCAAGCTGGGAATCAGTAACAAACAGACACACTCCCTCCTTGTGGAGGTTAGATTTCTCATGTTTCCTGATTTCCAAATTGCAAACTGAACACAGCAAAATTTTTTTCTGGCTTTTCAGGCTCTCTTGCCCCTGGTGAACTGAGGAGCTGCACAGCTACAGAGACCATACAGAAGAAAAATTTTTCAAAGCAACTTCACAACCTCAAAGAACAACTTTGAAGTGGAGGGAGGTTCGAATCAGTCTTGCATCAAGGCTTGAGTTGGCTCTTATTTTATCTCTGGTCCACAAGGGTAATTATCACCTCCAACTCAAAAAGAAGCAGCTAACAGATTGGCCTGTATTACAGAGGAAGAGGGAATTAATTAAGCAGTTGCTAATTACACTGTAATCTTAAACACTAAATTAATATTATGATGATCCTGATAGGCAACTCTGACATTGCCAAATCCCTCCCAGTGTCTAGCTACTGCACAGAATGTTCCTTCCACATAACCAAAACAACTGGTATACTCTCAAAAGAATACAGCAAATGCACAACAGCTCTGCCAGTTTCTAATTTTACCAGAATACAGAAACGCTCTGCAGCGTGAGGCTGCCCACGCCACTGACTTCGTTCTCATCCAAGACTAGTGCTGTCATTCACGTTACAGTGTGAGACTGAAGCTCAGAGTTATAAAAAGACACACAAAATCAACCAACCCCTCCCTTTACAAATGCCAGATTACTTTCACTGAGCTTGCATCCGGCCCAGTGTTAAATGTCCCACTCGTATCAATGAATTCTCAACACTGTACACTCCTTCACTGCTCCCAAACCTATCCTCAGATCTCACCAAGTCATAGCACAATGTTCTCCCTCAATAGCTGTCTACCCATACATAAGAACCAGTTCCCTAAACAGAGGCTTCAAAAGAAATTTTCTGCTAGTGAGCTTCATCAAGTTTCCTATGGAGTCTGCAAAGAAATACTGAACCAACATGCTTAAAATACAACCAGACTCAAATCTGTCTAAACAAACTCAGATGAAATCTGTCCAGAGTCTCATACATAGTTGTATGTCAGGTTCCTTGATACTCATGTGTTCTTTTCTCCAGGCTTTTCTTTTGTTTTGTTTTGTTTGCCCCACTGTAACTTGTCTTACAGTTTTGTGTCTGCTGCTGCTGAACTTATTAGCTCTTAAGAATTGCAGTCTCTTCATTACAGTGTGCTTTTGCCTGGCTATGGTTCAATGAGGAAATCAAGCATCCAGGTAAGAAGCCAGAGCAGGGCTAGATTGAAGGACAGATACATTAGGTCTATGCAGATGTCACTAATATTCAATATCCAAAATCACTAGTTCGCTACAGAGATTTATCTTTCATTTGCAAAAAGAATAATCCCCAAGGTGAGCTTCTCAGAAGTAAACATGTCTGCTCTATTGGCTTCAGCTGGTCCATGGCTAAGGAATGACAGCAGTTCAAGCTGCCTGTGCTCAGATGAGAGCTGACTTCTGACTGTCCAAAAATGAGCAGGGGAAGGCAGAGGTCACTGGTGCAGCAAGACTAAAGAATCTCAGAAGCAACTCAAACACATGCAGTCATACATACCAGAGGAAACTAAGAATTCAGAAAGAGACAGAACATTCTTTTTTAAAAGTATACACACAGATTTAAACACATGCTGCCATCACCTACAGAAGACTGAGCTCTGGTAACTTGGTTTTGGGGTCACTGCTTGCAGCTATGGGTGCAGAACCCTCTAAAGCATTTAAGAGCAGGACCAGTGAAGCGCTTTATAGCCAATGACTGGTGACCTCCCTGAAGGCAGAGAACATGAAAGTCAGGCATCTCTGTGATTTGCCATCATCTAAAGCAAAGAATATTTCCTTTCCCCTACTTCCTATTCTTCAGGAAAGTAATCTCTTACCATCACTCAAAACACAGACCAACTGCACAGTCTCATCACTGGAACTTCTCACTTATTTCTGTCTTAAACAGTAGATTACCTCAAAAACAGTGACTGAGAAACCCTAGTCAAGCAGGCAGAACTCAAGGACACATTGGAGAACCCAAACGCCCTGAATAATAGATTCTTCTCCAGCAACAAGAAGCTGCATTCCCTCTCTACGCCTCAATTTCCTGTGCTTTAAAAAGGAAAGAGCTGCTCCCTGCCACCAGGTAGCACTACCTTATGGTCAGGGACAGAGCATGAAGCCTAGCACTTGTTAAGTAAGAAGGAAAGACTACAGTTTGCATTTCTGCCTTCACCCTTTCAAAATAAACATTCATTTTTCACAACAGTTTATGATGCTGCACGCACATGGCACCTGAGCCAACCCACAGAGCTTGTTTCTTATTGCATCTGCCCTCAGGAGCCAACTCCTTGTAAAACTCATTAACAAAGTGCTTAAAAGTCACAGAAAATGCAGACAGACAGCTGCTTACCACTGGGGGTCTGTAAATGATGGAGATTGTGGCCTGAAGTGACAGATGTACAATGCAAGTGAGGTACGGGGAGACTGATACCCCCTCCAGAGTCTCTGCTCTCCATGTTCCTGGCTGCTCATGGATCCATCAGGGAACATTGGCAAGGAGAAGGCAGCAGCCTCCATTTCCAGTTTTATGAGAAATATCAGTGATGCTAGCATTCATTTTACAGATATATAAAAATATCAGATACAGCATTCATTTTACACATCTGGAAACCACTCCAATCTCAAAAGTACGTAATCAACCATCCTCACTTTACTCTTGCTTTGAGAATGATCCCCAAAATAGCAGTCCTTCTCTCCCCAAATCTCATACCAAGGTCATAGTGCAATGGTTACCCTAGTTTATCAACACAGCCAGGATACTTATAACAAAATGTAAAAATGGCATATGCAGAGAACAGAGTTTGACCTAAGTCGCTCTTAAAAGGCAGCAGGACACGGTACCTGGGCGACTGACCTTGAAGGAAACGTGGGCCCAAAGTGAACCTTTGCTCTGAAGGTCCCACCCTACCAGGGATGCAGACACAGCTCAGTATCTCCATTTGTCTCTTTCCAAAATGTGCTAACAACAGATGTATTCCTTACACGCTTCCACCTCCTTTCTCCCCATGGTGTCAAGAACTTGAAGAGCTCCCTACAGACATTCTGATTTCCTAAGCCAGCTGAAAATGCAGAAAATCCCAAGTTCTTGTGAACTTCAATTCCCTTACCCATCTAGGAATCCTCCTGCACATTGCTATGGTAGAACTTACTGTGGCAATGGCTCGGCCCACACGAACAACTCCAAAATCATTAGGATCCAGGAACCTGTTTCCATACAGATAGATGCCAGAAGCAGCTGCTGTCAATGAGGCAAATTTCAAGGCCCTTAGTGCCATGACTGATGAACCCTGCCAAGATACAAAACAGCAACTGTAACATCTGATAAGGACTTAGTGGTCTGATGCCCACAGCCCCAGAGGACCTGACAATCCAAGATTTAATTGCTCCTTTCCTAATGACACATTGCCAGCACTGCCCCAAGCCAAGAGCTCAAGCAACCACCCAGCAACTGGGGGTAAATTGCTCATTGCTATTCTCAACTCAACGGTGTCTACAGGCCACAAATCCAGAAGTAACTAACTGCTAGACGTTGCATAAAATGCAACTAAACACTTGTTCAGGATCCCAAAGGCTTTTCAAGGAGACACAACAGGTGGACAGACAGAAGGAAGCATGAGATCACCAAAAGTAAATTCTGATCCTATCAACAGGCACTTCTTCAACAAAAATTTTTGAAGACATCACAGCATAGGCAGATTTTAAGGGGACAACAGATGATATAACAACCCAGGTTTAAAAAGAGCTCTTGCAACATCAGGAACATCCAAAGTTTGTTAGAAACTCTGCTAGGCTAGTTCTAAAAGCTCCACACTGATGATGAGTGCTCTAGGAAGAGGCAAGGCATCCCAGGAGGTTGTATGCCACTCCAACAGTGCCAGACAAACACAGAGAATGTAGATGGGGCACCTGATCAGTGACCAAGTGAGAATTGTGTTCTCATTATCACCATCCCACTCAAGTGCCAGACAGGGAATGTACTGACAGAACAGCAATCTGCAGGAATCTACAGCCTGTTCCTAGCTCTGTCACAGGCCCAACACAGGCCTGGGGTGAGACACTTCTCAACCACTTTTTTCGTGTGGGACAAGGATGGGGAATGAACACATTTCCCACACTAAGCACTGTGGATCACTACATTCATTGTTTGCAGCATATAAAGTAGCATAAACATGTAACTCTTTACATGGTAATTTATATATTTTCCATTTCTTTATTCAACATAGAGGACCCAGATATGAAAAAAGGTAACAAGGAATTAGGTACATTTTTCTTTCCTTTCCCTATGGCTGGTACTGGGCAGAAAGTATGACTGAGCATTCCTTCTGCTTCTACCACAAATCAAAAGGTATTGTCACCTCTCTGCAAGCTCTCAAGAGCACCTTTGACACAGTGCAGGCTGTTACCCCATCAAGATGGAGTCTACTAATCCTCCCACTCCTAGGCTTGACTGAAAAACTTGCCTGCTTCTCATTGTGAAGCTTTAGCAGGGTCAGTCTGGCTTGTGCCTTTCCTCTCGGAGCCTTGTAACCAAAAAACACATGCAGTGACACAGGTCAAGTCTTTCAATAGCAGTTCACCAGAACACAATCAGCAAAATAAGCTAATATAACACAAGAGACCTTTGTACATGAACCTTAGCTAAACTTCATTATTTCCTTTTATTTCCTTACAAACCCTAGGCAACTGTGAGGCAGAAAAGCTGAGGCATATTCTGTCAGTGCCTGTCACAGCTGCCTGCAGCAACCCAGCTCTTTCTCCTGTCAGAATGGGTAGCTGGCTGACCAGGACTCCTTTGAATCTATGATCAAACTCAGCAGAAAATAAACCTGGGCTCTTGACTGCAGACAAATGTACACGCACTTCACCAAAAAAAAGTTGCCCTCCTTCCCCTGCCTCACTGGAATTCTAGAAATTTTGGGGTTTCTTCCAGCAGGATCAATCTTTATTTGTACAGAGATCTTTTGTATCCTCTGTCACCTTCAAAAGTCATTTTTTTGCAAAGTATTTTAATTAAACAATTTGTGCTCCTTGTATATTTCTGTAAAATTTCCTTTATTGAAGTGAAAGGTGCACTGACATTTTCTTAACAGAAAATATGCTTCTCCTTTTCATTATTTTTTTCCTTTGCTTTCTCAACTACTAAAAGAACATTTTATTGAAAGCAGGATTCAGGTCCATCTGTTCTTGCATGTTATTCCTACCTGAAGCTATAATCTGCAGTTTGTTACATCACATCTATTGCCATACCCGCCAGCTGTACGTCACAAAGAGAAGATGAGAACTTTAGGCAGCAAATAAACAGGCAGCAAAGCTGAATTTTTGGCAAGAAAGTTCCTACTTTCATGCTTAGCATGTTGAAGCAATAAAAAGGGAATAACTAAAACCCCTCCAATAAGAGGTACAGAAATAGAATTCTCTAAAGTAAATTGTATTTCAGTTTTGCATAAGGTATGGAGGAGCCTTTTCCATGTAAATGAGCCATTATGACACCCCCAGGGATATCTTAAGGGCCCTGTCAGCTGTGAAACAAACCTTGGGATGTCACTGCCTCTCATTATTAAGCCCTACGTTGACAGATCACCTCCAGCTCTTTTTTCACCCGAGTGAGGTGGCTCCTTTGACTTTCACACAACTTGGCGCACCTAGGCGTCCCTCACGTTACAGCCAGGCTTCTCCTGTTCCCAGCCGGGGCAGCCGGGACGGTGCCGGGTCCCTGTCCAAGCCCCGAAG